TTTTCTTCATTACCCATTCAAGCCGTCTCCAAGTATTATTAATCTCAAAGTGGGTTCCTCGACATCGAATTTCGTAAAGTTTATTAAACCTTGTACTTATGTACACATATGTAGTTAAACAGTTATTACAAAAAGCTGACAGCCACCTAACAAAAGTAAACACACTACATGTAAACTGGAACAAAATCCTTCTGCTCAGAATTAACAATTCTGTAAACATTCTGCCATGAAGTATTGTATTACTTTAGTTCATTATAAAATATTTAGGAAAAGTCACTGTACTCTTATTTACTGTATAAATTAAAAGTAGTAATTCACCCACGTGCAAACTGCATTGAGTATACATATATCTTCAGTACAAAGTTGGCCATAAGCTTCACGTAATAAACATGATGAAACTGATCTTTTAATGTCAGTTAGATTCAAGTGAAACATGATCTACCACATGGGCAGCATGTTGCTAATAATATATTTTTCTTATGGACATTAATACTTGCATGTTTACAGACATATTAGTACTAGATCAACATGACAGCTTTTGGTCATCATGACATACAGTTCACAATAATATGTACTACACTATAAAATTCAGTACTTCTTGACCACATGATATTTCTATTCTAAAGCTGACGTTAACGTTTAACTTGAGCATATAATGAGGGGTATACCTAGTCTCACAACACTACTAAGGTTAATTCAAAATTCACTTTGTCCACAGTCAGTTAGAGTATGTTAGGTAACAGGTTATTTTGAAGTAGCATTAGGTGTATTATTAATCCAAATTGTGATTAGTCTAAATTTCTGGACAAAGCAGACAGTGTGTGAGTTTCTTACATCTGTATCTGGTTGTTTTTACATTAGAATGTGACAATGTATCAAACTTGTTGACCGTGCATATGAAAATGGTCAAGTGTGAGTTAAAGTTAAATTAGCTTAAGTACTTTTATATTCAAGTTGCTATTTTTATAACTGCTATTCAACTTAGTTAAGTACTAATGTAACTGCCTGTAAATGACAACTTGTCCCTATTTAGA